ATTATATCCCCCCCCCCCCCTTTTTATAACTTTGAGATAAAAGTACAATATCATTTATTAACTATTTGACATTTATATGTTATCACCATTTAAGCAACCATTCATACTTAAAAAGGACATTGGTGAACATAATGATATTTTTTATATATGTATTTTGTTATTTTACTATTCATTTTTTGTTTCAATGCAAGGATAAATTTGTTTCAACTAACTGTAAGGATGAATTTTACTTGAAAAATGAAAGTTTAAAGAACTTAATTGCCAAAAAAAAAAAAAACGAATGAGGACTGGAATGTAAAGAGATCTAAAGTTGAAGACTAGATGTGCAGTTTAACCTGCGAATCACTCAATAGAAACCCTATAATAACTTCACACAATTTGACTTCCTGACCTTCCCGCGTCTATAAATAGTCTCCTGGAGTTCGATCAAAAAACTTCTTCATAATTCTTCACATACTACAAAAGTTGATAAACTCAAATTTCAAATCCAGACGGAGTGAAGAAATTGTAGAAGAAATAATGGGGAAGCAAATGCGAAGAAGGAGATCAATTCGTTCTTGTGTCTCTCCGCAATTTTCCTACCTCACTCCTCACTCCCTTTTCAGCTGGTATTCATTTGTACTATACTTGCATATTCTGCATTTACATTTTAAAAAGTGTGTGTTTGTACATTTGATTTTCGTGTGTCGATAAAAATGATATCAACAGATCATTTGTCTTTGAATGATTTGTTTGATTTTTAAATTTTCCTTGATTTGATTCAAATCAGAATGTTTGTGTTGATATATTGACGTAAATATGTAAAACTGTGCGATTGTGTATGATTCTAAGAATTTGCGTTTCAATCCAGGATGCGTTAATTCTTTTAGCTTAATATTACAGGATTTTGGACTTCAATTGATACTTATTTTGAATTTTAAACAGAGTAACCTGTTCTTATGCGGATATATGTTACAAATTATTGTTCAACTTACTGTTTATGTTAATTCTGCTGAAAGCTTCATCCGAGCTTTTCCACTAGATTGAAATATTCAAAAATTTCAATACAAGGAAATACGAACCTGCTGACTTTTTGAATCAATAGGACGTTTCTTTGGGTGTTATAAATTCTGTAGCCAGTTGGATTAGTTTTCGGTGTTTTTCTGGTTTGAGCATGTAATTCACCTCAATTAATTTGAATTTCTCAATCGGTTGGTGCATCACTTAGATATTTTCCGGTGAAGAAATTGTAGAGATATCACAGTCAGCTAATGTTCCTTTGGCTTTGGCTTCAGATTTGAATCCAATTTTTTAATTGTACACAATATAACTCATTCAGTGTTTAAAAATTTAATTAACTCAATCCTAGATTGCAATGATTTTCAGATTCTTGGAGTAGTCATCTTGAAAGTGTAGCTGTTCTCAACCGCTAAGAGATTGGCGCTATTTGGTAGTTTTTTTAGGCATTTAGATTGGATGATCAAAAAGGGAGGAATTGGAAAAGGATAAATTTTATAGGATTAGAGCACCAAGCATGACATATATTTTGTTTGATGGAAAGGTCGCTATAGGTGAACAATTGTTAGACTTGCTATGATTTACGGTATTGGGAATTAAAGGACAAAAAATGTTCATAAGATGAATATAGTGGCTACGAGGTTATTAAGATGGATTGCTATTGTACCAGAATGGATAATATAAAAAACGAGAATGTATGCCAATTACACTTTTGAGGGCAGATTAAAGGAATAACGACAATTGTGGGTGGGACATATTTCATGTGGACCAGCAAAGGCTCATGTTATGAAGTAGATCTAAGCAGAACGGATTAGAAGAGGAGGCTACTGCAATAAGCCTGTTGCGGCCTTCTTGTATTGATACAGAATCTGAATTTATATTTCTATTCAGCCAATCCAGTTAGCCTTAACTGAAGTTTGCTTTTAACCGAGGCCTTGATATTAAGCATCATATCTTAGTTCTACATATTTATTCCCAATATCACCATGATATATCTGTAGCAGTGAATACCAAATTTTTTATGCTGAATTAGAACAATGCTTGAGACAGATGTTATGGTTATGAATGATAATTAGATAAAGATTTTACTTCTATGCTCAATGTCATAGTCCAATATGCCATTGAATTTGATTTCATTTTCCATGTGTTTCTGTTTATTTTAATGCAAAAAGGTACGAAGAGGATATATGGACAGAGATTGCTAAGTTTTTGGATGGGAGATCTCTGGTGATGCTAGCATCAACTTGCACATGGTTCAATCATATCATAATGGACGATAGCGTGTGGAAATATATTTGCTTGCGAGATCTTGAGGTCCCAGATCCTGGCACAGTAGCCTTCAAATGGATCAAATTATATGCCACAGCTTTCGGTAAATTTCAGCTTCCTTGTTACTTTTCTCGTGCTTAATAAATTGGATACTCCATTGTGCAAAAATAACACTTTCATTTTCTGATAAGACTTAATCTCAATTCTTGGCAGATGGAAGCCACTCGTACATGTTTCGTCAGCAGGAGAAGCATATTGGTGAATGCTCATTCTTCCTTAAGTTTTCACTTTTCTTGAAAACTGTCAGATTTCTTTCGAGTGAAAAACTCAGGTCATGCTATCAGATATTGTCATATTGATTTTGCATTTGATTTGAGACATGAATGAAAATTTCTAATTATGAGGTAACATGCAGAACCTTTAATGCAGGACAAATTTAATTCCAAGTTGCTAAGTGCCTTCAAGCTTCAACTTAATATTTCTGCAGGGTTACTAAAATTTGAACCATTAAATTCCAAATTATTATGCCGTAATCAGCTCCAAATTCTATTAGCACTTGGGGATCATACCGCGGGCAGTATTCTGATGGTACTTGCAAAGGAAAATTGATATGATTTCTACACTTCGTTATCATATTTGTCTACCAACAAGTTTTGCTGTAATAGCAACATACAAATAAAATATTTGCAAACATGCCATTTCGTCAACTCTTAACCTTCTCCCAAACTCGACTTTGGAAAATATCAGAAATTTCTGATAGTATCAATTATCCCAGCATACATTTAGTTAGGAGAGTTACTTCCTGTGTTCAGTTCCAGTCGTCCACTGTTCTGTGTTTGAACACATTCTATACAGCTTGCCTCTATGATGCCTGTGTAGACTTACGATTCTCTCTGTTCTACTGAATCCACAGATTGGATGCGAATTGGTGCATTCTTTTTTGACTCAAGGTATGCACTTCTGACAGAGACTCTGATTGCTCCATTGAAAATTTCAAAAGAACAGAGAACACAGAACATGTTGGAGTCGAATGGCTGTTGTGTATTGAATAACATCAAAGTTGGAATCTGGATTGCAGGTAATTCAATATTCATCTCATGTCTGAGATAATTCCTTTTGTAGCATTTGAAATGTTTCATCAGTTAGAATCACACATAATGGACTACGTATTTCCAAATGTGAATGTGTTTCCAGACTTGCAGCTTGTTCGATGCCCCGTCTGTGATCTCAAAACATGTGATGGTGAGTAAAACAAAAGGCTTCCGCTCGAAGATTTTTAACAGGACTATTTGTCCCCGTGACTACATTGATATCTGCTGCATATGATCCTGGGTGATTAAGAGTAACCAAAAAACCATGTATGCATGATTTGTAATGGAGTACCAAGAAGGACTGGAGGGTGTAATGAAGAGGATTTTAGTTTCTTTTTCTTCCTCAATGCATTATACGTGATAAACACCCAACTCACGCCCCCTGTAAGAGCTTCCATGAAAAATCTAAATTCTCGTTCAAAGCATCTCTCGTCCCCTTTTCGAGGGGTAGCAGTTAGTTTAACTCGTCATGCATATTAGAATCTCACGAGTATTACACATTCCTTCCCCACCTAAAATGCCAATAAAATTTAAGAAAATGAATTACTTAAGGCTTTGCATCAGTTCAAGAATTCCAGAGTAAGAGGACGTCCCATAATCACTTTCAGCCATGTTAGCAATGTATAATAAGTTAATATTAATTTTCTTTTCCTTTCACGTGCACGACTGTAGAATAATTATCAATTCCCCTAGCCATCCTCTTACAAGGGAGAAGAGGATGTATCCTGACGCAGTTTGATGACCTGGGTACATGATAGCGTGCTTCTTTATGCAGGAACAATGCAGACCTTGGATGCAAGGCATATTGAAGTCTTCCTGAGTGAGGGATACAAAGATGGGAGCTGGGACTACGAGTTGTTAGCCTCTCATGACATAAGCAAGCAGACTGATGGAGCTTCTGCTGGAATTTTTGACGTGAAGCATCTCAACGATCAATCTACCTCTGGTACTCTTCCGTCTGGGCTGATGATATAATCCGCAATAGCTTTGAAACTTTGAGCCTCTTCGGCTCTTCATATAAACTTATTACATGTTGTTAACATGGCTGAAAGTGAGCATCGGATGACCTCGTACTATGGAATTCTTGAACTGATGAATAGCCATAAGTAATTCATATTCCTAAATTTGATTGAATTTTTATTACCTAAATTGATTCTGTACACAACTTGTACTTTTAAGCTATGGTAAAATGTGGATTAACTTTGGCGAGATTTTCAGAAATCTTCTGTCTTAAGGCGTGGGTGGGGGAACGGACGGACTGGCAACCAAAAGCTCTGAAAACCCTCCATGCAGTAGCAGTGAACACCAATCTACACGAGAATGAAGGTAAAAATTTCCTGGACTTATAAATTAGTTTACTGTACCTCGTTCTATATGTAACTAGTATTATCAGTTGAGCCGTTAAAAGATGAAATATCCATAAATGCTTGCTTAAACTTTGCACAAATGGTTTCTCTATTTTCTAGTTACAGCATTGACGCCAAATTCTGCTGAGTTGACACTAACACTACGAGATCTAATCGACAATACCTTCGTAAAATAATTATTATTTTTACCTTATTATGTTTTTAACTACTTTTTTCTTTTTATTTGTTTTGGAAGCAGGTCTTAACGTTAAAATCCACGCTATGAAGACTGGAAAAGATGAAGTTGTTGCAATTCGAGTATCTCAGCAGCTACTGTAGTCTCCCTCTCTCTCTCTCTCTCCCCCACACACGCACATACATACATACAAAAAAAAAAAAAAAATAATAATAATAATAATAATAAATCATGTAGCAAACTTCAAATTGATTAGAAACAATGCGTAATTTATTATTTGTTTTTGTTTGGCTTGAATCCTGCCCCAAACTATTGACTTCGCAAAATACAAAACATCAATAGAGTATTTTTCTCAGAATTTGAGACAAATGGGCATTCAAGTAATCTTTTTTTCTGTTTCTACTCTTTTCAATCAAATACGCAGCTGAAAATAATTGTCCATCTTCCTATTGTGCCAACAGCAGCTTCTCTATACACTTTCCATTCTGGTTAGAAAGCCATCAGTCTCGAAATCGCGGGAGTCCTGGATTCAATTTAAGCATTAATCAGGGTACAACAGTTCTGGATCTCCCTTATTCCGGTCAGTTTTTCGTAGGATATATTTCCTACTACATAGGACAAATACAACTTACTAATCCAAATAATTGCCTCCCAAGACGGCTTATGAGTTTGAATCTTTCGTCTTCTCCTTTTACGGCTGTTTCTTATCAAAATTACACCTTCCTCAGCTGTCCTAGAAATCAGGCAACCAGTTTTACCGGTTTGACTACTGCAATCGATTGCCTCAGCAACTTGACTACGAGAATACTAGCAACACGGTACCAATCCGAAGTGATGAGACTGTACATGTGCAAGAAAATTATCACATTGCCAGTACCAGTTTCATATCTATACGAACATGGGCTTCCCCTTAAGCTCGAGTTGACATGGAACGTCTCAAGTTTCAATAATCCAGTAGGTAAGGATATTTTCTAACTTCCCTCCCTGTTTATGATTAATCCATGCCGTGATTATTGATCGGACATGACAATAATTAGGAGGCTGAAGGACATTTTTGTGATTGATGATTGGGTCAAACAGAATAATGGAAATAATATTCTACCAACAATGGCATTATAATAAACACATTTGACAAATAAATGTCAACTCAATAATGAGATAAGAGAGGTTTTCTGGGATAGAGACAGTTTCCAGGTTGGATTTTTTAGTTCGAATAGGATAGGCCCCAATCAATCGAATTAATCATGAACATCGTAAGCATATTTATTCTATACTCGATAAGCACCAAAATCCATATGGGAGTCTGGTCGACACCATTTTCAGCTAGTTAATGGGACTAGTCCAAAACTTCACACAAAAAATCAACTTGTCATTGAAAAATTTCAATCAGATAGACCTAATATGCATTACCTCGCATGTGCAGGTGCATCAAATCATCAGTCAGTTTTCAGGATCACCACCGTGTCCTTCCTCTCAGTGGCCCTCATTGTACCAGCACTGATAATCTGCTTAGTCTGTTGCATAAGTATGATGAGACGAGAAAACCATCGGGGTGGAGATACAATCTCGACTTCTGCTGAGGTAGCTTTATCGATGAATGTCGCAGCAGGTCTCGATGAATCCATGATTGAGTCCTACGAAAAAGTAACTATAGGTGAGAGCCGGCGCATCCCAGGGCCTAATGGCATCACTTGCACAATATGCTTGGCAGATTATGGCCCCAAGGAAATAGTAAAACTCATGCCTGAATGTGAACATTGTTTCCATGTTGAATGTATAGATAAATGGCTAAGGACGAGCAGCAACAGTCCAATCTGCAGGAACTCCCCAGTTACCCTTACTAATTCATAGCATTTTCTAAACTCATAGTTCATGATGTTCTTGAAAATTCACTCCAGTTCACAAATAATGAGATATTTTCTAGTTGAAATGGACAATAAAAGAAAAAATTACCGATTTTATGGGTTTCTGACAAATAACGGTCAATGTTATGTATCAGTATTTTTGTTTCTCATTTACTGGATTTATGGGTTTTATGCAATTAAACCACTGTGTCATCAATGGCACAAGAAAAATAACAATCAGTAGAAACATAAACGATTCAAATCTAAACCGTAATACAAATTGCAGAAATGATATTCCTAATACAACACATTTAGTTGAAGCTAGATTAGTAGATATCTTCACCCTAGTATTTCAAAACTTGAAGTTTGATCAAGTGAGAAGAAAAGGAAGTTCATTTTCAATTAGCTCCAAACTGAAACTAAGTTTACATAAGCATGCAAGGCTTTTCATTTCTTGGCAAACAGCTTCTTTGGAAGCATCTCCAAAGATGTCGTTTTGAGCAGAAAAAGCCTGGCGGCACGTTCTTGCAAAGTACCACCACATTTCAATCCACGTGCTTGAAGCTCCAATTTTAACCTCTCCAAGCCAAGAACCTGTAATTGATTGTAGTTACATAGTATGAGTGGCTAGTCACGTACTAACAACTATGAAGAATGCATCCTTGAAATGAAACGAAATCATTGAAAAGGTCGAGCTGGAAAATAGAAAAATTACAACATACCTCCAACTCCACTGCTGAATTAAATCCATCAAAGTTCAAGAGTTCGTCCGAATCTGGAGCTTTCAAAATTCCAGAAACTGATTCTTCCTGAGCTGGTTCAGGATCGGTACTCTTGCTCAGGTTCACAGCAGAAGCTCCTTCCTCCGAGCTGGATACACCTCGCAGCTGACCGGTTATTTCTTCCACTTTGAGGGAGAGAGATTCTTTCGGCACTTCTTTCTCAACTGCATTCTGTTCTGCACTTTCCTCAAGAATTGGCAAAGCAGATTCAGTCTTATTTTCCACATCACCATTTTTTGCATATGCATCCAGGCCTCTCCCAGACTTTGGAGACTCTTCCACAACAGTATCCTCTTCCTCAGAGCCAATGCCAGAGGAATCTTTATCAGCATCAAGTTTCCCTCCAGTAACTGAACTTGAACTTCCCTCTGCTTCCTTACTGGAATCTGAATGGTTCCCATTATCGATAACTACGGATTTCTCATTCTCCTCTTCAGTGGTGCCATCACTATCGTCCTCGTCCATGTCCTCACTATCACTATCATCCAATTTCTTCTTTCCCAGCCTAAAGAAAAGAAGTGTAATTAAATTAGTAAAAACCACATAGTGAAGCTCCCAAATTTCTAAAATCTAGACAAAAACAATAAATTCAGAATTTCATTATGATATTATTCTCAACATTGATTTTCCAAGTGACAATTTCAGCTATAATTTTCTTTAGCAAAGAACACGAGGCAGTGACAGGGAAAAACAAACTACAAGGACAAATGTTTTATTAGCAATTCCAATTCATAACCTTGAATGTAATACCCCTTTGTGCTATCTACTTAGAGAAACTAAAGTACAATTATTGCCATCAATTTTCCAAGAACCAAACAAGATTCATAATCAATCTTGCAAATACTTAATATCATTTCGCCATTTGCTTTAATATTATTGATTAAACTAATTCAATATTAGTTGACAAAATATATCACCTACCAATATTCTCCATTATTCTAAGGACGCTGGAAAGTATCTATTTACCGTTTACATAGATCATAATTTTAACAAAAAATTACCACAGAGAAAAGCAAAACACCATACCATATCTTCAACCTCTTGGACTCAGATTCAGTTGCCTCCATGGCTTTCTTTCTTTTCGAGCTCACCAGCCCTTTAATCGACTCCCTAACTGATCTTTCCACTACCTCCATACACTTAGCAGAGTCCTCCCTATACTTTGCCACATACTTCTCCGAGCTCTCTCCTTTACTATTTTTACCCTTCTTAACAGCCTCCTTGGTCTTCTTCTTGATATAATCCTCCGCCATTTTCTCCAGCTTCCTCTCCTCCGCCTCGACCCTCCACTCTTCAAGCTTCTTCTCCGCGTTCACGTGCCTCAGTCTCCGCCCACTCATATCCCTGCAAGCATCAAAATTGTTCGTCTTCTTCTGTCCCGCCTTTGTAGCCGCTCCTCTAAGCAACGACCCAAACCCTCCTTTCCCACCCCTGAGCCGCAGCAACAAATGCACCACAGTCGGAAAATTCCGGGACCCATCTGAAGACTTTCGGGGCAAACCTGTATTATGGGACCCACTAATAAAATTTCGATCTTGGGGCAATTGGGAATCGGAATCGGAATCGAAATCGAAATCTAGGGTTTTGGGGAAATGGGCATTCTCGTCAGAAACAAGATTGAAATATAGGGTTTGGTGGTCATTGAGGACGCGGGAGTTGTGGGATAGGAGAAACTGAAGATGGGAGGGAATAGAAGAAATACTCTGGATCTGGTGCTTGAGGGTTGGGACGGAGATCGAAGGGGCATTGAAATTCAAGATTTTGTGCTTTCCATCAAGAAATTTGACAAGTACTTGATGGATTCCAGATTCAACCACCTCCATTTGGTTGAAATTATAGGCTTTGATCGGCTTATTGATCAAAGGAATTAGGCTTTTCCCAGTTTTGTCTGTTTACACGTGAGAGGGAGAGAGAAAGGGGCGTGGGCCTAAAGCGTCGTCTAATGAGTTCGGACGCATTTGGGTGAAGTCGACATGTAAAAAGATGGTCTATATTTTTAATATTATTTTGAATATTTTAAATTATAAAATAAATAAATAATATATATTTTTCAAAATTTATAGAAATTTCATTCATATTTTCGAATTTACGTAAAAAATTATAATTCTCAAAATAAATATCCGAATCAATAATGCTTTGTTCATAAAGCTATGTTCATGGATTGTGTTTGGGCTAAAAAATTAGATTTTTTTTATTGTACTTATTTCGTAATTGTGATCCTTTTTTTGGGAATGAACTCTTTAAAAAAAATCATGTCAAACCAAAAACGTACTCTTTCTTCGTGTAGGCGCACGTTAGGCTCAACATGGAGTTGAACATTGTCTGTTCCACCTAGGTATGAGATGAGGTGTTTTCTTCGTGTCTCGTGGGTCGTGTCGTGCACTTGGGCGAGACTTAGGCCAACATTTTAATTTTTAAAACACCGCTATTTATAGAGCCTGTTTCTTTTAGTCGTAGTGGGCTAGGACCTAATATAATACGGGAGAAATAAGCCCTCTACTCCCCAAAATTAAGAATTTTGAATAATATCATATTAACTAATTAAAACATTTAAACATGTAATTAATACTTTCTAAGCTGCCAAATCATAAAGCTCAAATCGGATTCTCCATTCCAGAAAAAATTCAAAGAGAAACCGTCCTCATCAACTGTGCTCCTCCTCACCACGACTCCCCTGACTTCGCTACACTTTGAAACTCTGCAATTTTGGATGAGTTTGTGCTCTATCTTTGTTGTTTTTTACCCAAATATAGACAGATCTATGGAGAACATAGTTGAATCTGCTGTTTGACATTCAAGTCGGCCAAGGGAAAACATTGGGATATTAAACAATCTTCAAATTAATGTCAAGCCTTATAAACCAAAGGTAATCTTTGAATCTTAGCATTAGGATAGCAGATAGTAACTATTGTGTTGATTAACAAGTTCATGTTAGGGAAAGTTATAATGCTTGTTCCATCTTGTCAAGATAATGCTTTCACTACTAGGTTGAATAGCTTTGCTTTCAACACAAATTTTATAGTTTGCACTATTATGTTCAAATTTCTGTCATGCGTCATGCATTGATTGTTGTGGAATACACCGATTCAAATGTGCATATTATATTCATAAAACGCAACTTATACGTTCACAAAATCGAAACAAGGTTTCGACTTATCAAAATGGAGTTTGAGAAACTAAACAATGATTATCGAATCTGACCATTTCCATTTTGAATTAAAATACGTTTCTTATTAGCTTTATCTAAAGCTTAATTAAATCCAAATAACACTGTTAGAGGATTTCTATCTAATTATTACACTAATCAACTATGTTTGCTAGTGAATTTCAGAATCACAAGTATATTGAAACGTTACCATGCATTTGAATTTTATGAATATGCTTCAAATATTTCAATTTGTTCTTGTATGTCCAAACAAACGCCACAGTTAAATTCCACCCATTTAATCCACTTTAGACTTAGTGTATATCATCCTTATAATTAGTGTAAGGGTTTTCTATCTTTTCTCCTCCTTCATAGATACATTTCTATGATTATAAGATAGAAGCAAATATAACTGTTAAACTGAGTTACTCCTACAATTCCTCAATTAAAAATACATATGCAATCTTCTAATATTGTATCCACAAGTTTTGAACTTTTCGTTCAAATTCACAAGCATTTATGACAACCCCCCACATCTTTGGGTTACAATTGAACTTAGGATTTAGCAATTATTTATTTCTTAGATAATATTCATATCGAGTGCTTCGTGAAAGTTTAAGTACTTTCAAAATAGTGGTCGTCGACTCACAAGTTATTTCAATTAAAGTTGCATATAATGTATTTCAATTCAAATTATTTTAATTTGATCATTCAAATTAAATCAAGGTCATCATATAAACCTGCATTGCTTTCAAAAAATATACCAACTTAATTTGTTTCATGATTGAAGTCAATTTCAAAAGTGAAGAGGGCTAAGCATCTTGATTTACAAGAATTGCAATTTCTCCAAACGCGTGTAACTCCTCACATTTGTGACATTTCACATAATAGTTTCATTTCATGTCAAATAATAAGGTACATATTCACCTTATCCACCATATTCAAACTTGAACAAATGAATCAACCATATGTTGAAAAGTTGTGTTCTCAAGAGACACAACCCTACAAAAGAGCACATCTTTTGAATTAATCTCTTCATAGAGACACGCCCATTGGAAAATAATCATACCAAAAGTCATAATTTTTCATATAAAAAGACACCTTTTTATTTCAATTGATCTTAGAATATTTCATAACATTCTATACAATTTTCCACCAATTCCAAGTAATTGGATGCATGTAAATTCA